AGTTATCAATGAACCATGGAACAATAGTCTCCCTTGGGGGATGGAGATGAAAATTCAATTGAATTCCTACCTATGATGGTATGGTATTTATTTCCTTTTTTGGTTGGGGGGATTGATCTTCTGGTTCTTCTTCTTTTTCTTCCTCCGTTTTATGTACTGTATAGCAGAGTATGTAGCCACTAGGTTATGAAATACTGCTCGCTTACTTACGGAGGTAAGTACGTATTGTATGGCGAGAATAATAATAATAATAATAATAGAATTCTATTAAATCTGCTTCTGTAAGCGGTAGGGTACTCTACTAACTATCATGTAAGTCACCAAGTAAGTCATCAGTAGATCTCCCCAACTCGTCTATCTACTTACATAAAGTATCTGTCTGCCTGTCACTCACCCACTGATTTACGAAGTAAGTATCGAGATGATCACGCACATACCAGTCGCCAAGCGCACGCCATACTTTATTTAATCATCATGGAGGCAAATAACTAACTAACTAAAACAAAAAGAAAATACCTATAAGTCAGTACTTTTTAAGCATATCCCGAATCCCGAATCTACATGAATAGTAAGTACCACTTAGTTACCCGCATTCAGTAAAATGTCTCACCTTCTTACTCTTCGACCATCTCAGCACGGGCACAAGTAGTGGTTTAACACTACGCTAATTACAAAAGTAATCAATTAGATAGAAAGAAAGAATGATCTCTGCTCCCATCCTTCAACACGTAATGATAAAGTCATCGCATCGATCGATCGAATCAATCACTCAAATCAATCTGATTCCCAAATGACAACCACTAGATCGATCCCGCTTCCGTTCGAACCGACAGACAAGATAGACAGACAGACGGGAAGAAAGGAAAAGAAAGAAGTAAAGTTCCACTACTAGTTCAAGTTAAGTATATTTGCCACCCTCGCTCTAAAACATCCCTGCACCTTCACCCCCTCCCTCCCTTCCTTTTCCTCCCCCTCCATCATATTTCTTATCTGCCGTCCGACACGGCAGAGAGCGGGAGTGCGTGACCTCTTCTGATTCGATCGGAACCATGGAATCACACAGCCTCACACGCCTCATCATGAATTTCATAGGATTTTAGTTAATAGAGCAAAAAAAAGTGGCAGCACACTGCCATAGTAAGTAGTAGGAGTGGCTTAGGTACTTCATTGTTCATCTAGTGGGCTGATGACTTTTTTACTCTCCGCGGGGATGGTAATGGTGGTTAGTTAATTTGGATGATTGACACTTGACTGGGGAATCCATGTCATGCATGGCGGCGCTTGGTTCCCATCGCTTGTTCGCCTCATCTGGGCTTTTGTGGCTTCACTTGCCGGAGATGGTAATGCCAGGTGAGTTTCATAAAAGTAATGAGAATGTACGTAGTCGTCTGTTGTCGCTGGCGAATTGTGTTGGATGATGTTATTTGAGGTTTTACGTATTTCGTCCTACTGGGCTTTCAATTCTTTCTGAGTTTAGCAAAAGTACTACCTACTTAGTAGTCTACTCGATTGTGGTCTGTGAGTTATCTCATTAATTACTTATTATGGTTACATTTTCAATTGCTGAAGTTTATTCTTCATCCGTTTTAATATACAGTGACAGAGTAGCTGGTAATTGGTCATAGCTGACATCGTAATCCCGCTCTACAATAAAAACCAAAACAACTAAATTGAATAACATAACCAGCTCTGTAAACTCCGTAAAGCGCTTACCAGCTTCTATACATCGCCAGTACATATAATCATACAACTATACCACCGACCTAGTAACCACCGTTATATCCGAACCCGACAAAAGAGGAGACAAACCACCTCCCTCAACGCCACCGACCCCATTCTTTCTTCTCTCCATCATCCCAGACATCCATTATACATTAGTAGTTAGTAGATAAAAAGTAGATACCTTAGTAAGTTCTACTACTCCATCAATTCTTGATTGACGTAAGCCATCATTTCCTCAATCGACCAGTCATAACCCCCCTTTCCCCTCCGGAGGTTATATGCGGTTATACCCTTAGATAAAAAATCTTGACTTGGCGGATTGCGAACGAACCACTTACACCCACACTTCGCATCCACAATTCCCTTATGGCCCGTGTCCGTCGGATTGTCTATCCGTGCCGTTTTTTATTTTTTAGTCTTTTTTCTTCAATCCCCTGTAGTTTCTTAACTAGGCTGGGCTGAGCGGGTAGGTGGATTGTTCCAGATTCCGGATTTAGAACCCACTGGATGAGAGGGATGGATGGAACCTGGGAGTTTGGGTGGTTGGTTTCTTGGTTCGTGGTATATTTTCTACGGGGGTTGTGGGAGGATGGGGGATGGTTGTGTAACTACTTTTCTCCCATGTGTGTTGTTTGAGGGACTGTACTACTACTACTACTACTACTACTACTACTACTACTACTACTACTACTACTACTACTACTATCAAGTAGTAACCATTTATTCTTCCTTTCTTTGTTTCTCTTTAATCGATTGGTATTCAATTGGTATTCAATTGGTATTCAATTGGTATTCAATTGGTATTCAATTCTCTCGGAATATCACCCACGAATAACGAACAACCTTAACAATTCTTCAGTCGTTTCGGTAAGGTATGTAGTCATGTCTGTCTGTCTACCCCTTTGTTATCTGTCATGTATGTATAAAGTTTCTTTTTTATCTTCTTCATTCCGTCAGGACTAATATGCAATGAACATACCGAATGCGGGCATGATTCCCTTTGTTATGTACTATGGGGTGTAGTAGTAGTAGTAGTAGTAGTAGTAGTAGTTGATGTAAGCAAGCATGTATGTTGTCATGGAGCACGACATGACTTAGTTGACTGAAGGATTGTTAGCCGCGCAAGAAGCTTCCGCGAATAAGATTGCTTCGTCGAGTAGTACTACATAGTTGGACTGTGTGGTAGGAGCTTAGAAACGGGTTGTAGGTGTGTGTGTGAGTGTGAGTGTGTGCCTTGCTGCTTGCTATTTGCAGTTCTTTATGTTCTGTCTCTTTTGGTAGGTTGGGGTGTGGTATGATTTCATGATATTTATGTTGGGTTTGGGGTTGCTATTGTTGAAGGCTTCTATTTGGTTCTTCGTGTGTTTATTATACCATTAATATGGCGGTAGTCCAAGTTCATGGTGACTTGGGATGAAGTTATATATTCTACGATTCAAATGCAGTTTTCTCTAACAGAAGATCGCCCCCAGCACGAATCTAAACCTGTTTCTCAACACGACATTATAGAAGTTTCAAGTCTCCTGGCAATCACTATCCAATCAGTCTAGTATCATGGCAGTGACAGACAGATAAGCGACAACATGACAGGGGGAGAATGGGCCGCGCGATAAGGGAAGGGCTGGAGTCCAAAACATACTAAAGCAGCCACAATATACACCTCATTGAAGATCTCTGCATCACGACTGGTCAAAATTGAAGGATTAATTAGTACTTACTGCTTACTTGTCATCTCATGCATGCTGTCTACATTGACTGAGTCAGTGGCAGGACTATTGACTTAGTTTATCATCGGACAGAGAATGCATTGCATCACGTCGCATTGCATCTGCGCGGGATTGACTCTTGAGTAATTGTTGATACATAGTAGCATAACATCATCTCATCTACTGGTGTTATGTTGTGTTGTGTGTTGTGCTGTGCTATGCTGCTCGCGTCTAGACCGATCCCGTCCATGACGTTAGTCAAAGTAGTACTACTAAGTTACTTAGTAGTTACCCCAAATCTCAAAGCAGACATGCGGCAATGCGCAATGCGCAATCCACCTGCGCATGCTGGTGGAGAAAGCCGAAAAAGTAGTGAGCTAAAAAGGGATTTGGCTAGTGACTGTGTAAGCAGCGCAGCAATAAAAAAGAAAGGAAAAAGGAACTCCTGAATGTTATGATGTAATCTGGGGACTGGCCGTCTTCGTGAAACCACCAGCGATTGGTGCATATGTGGCGGGTCTATCTTCCTTCCCCTTGACTCGGAGCAGTCGTCCAACGAATCAGAGCGGGCGTTGCCATGAATTCTATCGCACGACACTCTGCTTGAACCGAACCTATCATTTCCACTCCAGGTAACCAGGGTACTATACCCGTAGCAATCGTCAGTTCTGAAATTCCTCCAGATGGCAGGCATGAACTGTCAGCCCCTCCTCCTCTCTCTCCCCCTGAGACGCATGACGTAACTTGTGCTTCTTGTCTTCGAAAGAGGAAACAGATTTCTATGTTTTAGTGGTTTCGTCTGACCATGGTCGGCATGTAGATTAGGAGTCCAATGCGTTCATGGACGAGCTCCGTATGGTCGGTGCCTTAGTAACTCTTCCGCCTTCCTATTCTCGTCAGGTGGCTCCCCAATTAATATTGGCTGAGTATTAGGGTGTGTAAGGAGGGTGCTAGCCCAGCTGACTAAGGCTCATTACGGGAGTGTCACTCTCGCATTCCCCAGGCCAACGATACGGCTGTTTAGGTAATAAGGTTCTGAGGAACTCCGTCCGATGTGACCCGGGGACCGACATCCCATGTTTCTGATTGGCGGGACATCATCCCAAGCAATCGGCGCCGGTCTAGCCCTACATCCCTTTACATTTTTCATACAATCCCTGTACAGAGTATGATACAGTATCAGCCGTCGATGCTCGATTAAAGTGTAGAGTCCGGTAGCTCTGGATGATATTCTCTGAGACGTAAACCTCCCCAAGTATTAGTTTTATTTGCTTCTGTTGACCTGCAGCATCAAGCAGTGTGAAACCAAACCTTGTGCGTCTGTGCTTGGCGCAGGTTTGTGTCATAAGTGTCCATATCCATGGTTGGCGGGTGCTTCATGGTTCGATACTCCCCAGTAAGACCCCGTGCACGACAGAATAAGCTCCCGGCCCAGCTTTCGACTCCATTTCGACTCCATAACTGTCGCTAAGGAAGTCGGTATGTTTCACTTCCAAGCACGCATTGATAGCTTTTACCCACCGCGCTCCTTTTTCTCCATATACATGCGTCCTCCACTGTCCAAGGCGCCAGTTAGCAAGTCAGTCAGTCAGCCTGGAACCCAGCTGCCCGCAGTTATGTGTGTGATCCATCTCATCTGCTCCCTCATCCCTTTCCCTTTTTGACTTCCATGTCCCATGTCGGTATGGGATAATGTGAGACCAATCGCAGACCGTATATACTGATTTCAGTAAAGATGCGTTGTCAGAATAGATAGATAGGCCGTGGGAGGAGCGCTACTACCCTTCCCAGGACGCGGACACCGTCAATGACACTGGTGCCATGTGATAACGCTTGCAGATCAATAGGCTGAATTGGTCTGGCCGAATGCCAACTTCGGCAATAGTCCGCTTTTTTCTTCTTTCTTTAAATTAAATGTCAATTTGGTGGCTCCACTCAATGTGGACGAATTGGGGTAGGAAGGTGGAAAAACCAAAGGATGCTTCTAGATACCTCTTTTCTTTTAAACCCGCGATCGGGTACTCGCGAGGCTGGGAGTTGAGCGGGCATAGTAGCAGAAGCAGTAGCAGCAGCAGCTCCCTCGCGTATGTACAGGAAAGAGGGGAAGGAGATAACCCTTCCTCCAAAACCGGGATTAGTGTTGTTGTGAGCTGTTGCTGTTGTTATTGTTGTCCTCTGCTACCGGCCTCGGGAATGTCCCAGTTCTTTCCCTTTTCCTTCTCTTTCCATGAAGAGAAAGGTGTATGTTGTCGGCAGAGTGTATTAGGAAGTGTCGTAGTTTGTTGAGGTGAGTATTTGGTACGCTGTGCATAATAACCGCGGTTCACAGCCGCGCCATAGATACTTAAAGAGGTTATAGGTAACTAAGTAACCTAACTGAGTAGGGAGAGAAGGTATGTACTTTTACACGCACGTCCAAATCAAAAGAACCACTACTGCCACATCTGTATGGATGCCTGGGTTACCATTGGCTTGGGATGGGCTTACAGTCTTGTGGCTGATCGTTGACTGCTAAGGTACCGCCCATGAAGTGTCCCAAGGACTGTGTAGGGCTGGGCATAGCCCACGGCGTATGGCAAGTCAATGACTTTTTTCCTGCATTCTCATGGGGCTGTCAGTGCACTGCTCTTAGCCTCTTACTGTGTTCTGTATCTTGGGAGGATGACGTAGGACCCGAGTTTAGTAAATGTGCCTGTTCATTGGAAAATCGGAAATCGGCTTGAACCCACTTCATTGGCGTCTTGGCCCCGGTTCCATTGTATGGACTGACACCGTATCGTGGTCGCTTCGGTGTTAATGATCGGTGCAGGTGGTGGCCTCTATAACCAGACTGCACTGGTTTCACAAGGCAGGATAACCGAGCAGAGGAGATATGATGATCCGAACGTTTGGAATGTTGAGGAACAGGTTATTATGACTGTCGGGGGTTTATTGAAATGTGGCAGAAATGGCTGGGAGCCCTATACTACTTTGCTGGCTCTCCAGTAGTGCTTAAACAACTAGTAAGTAGTTCTGGTGTAGTTATTGCTGTTGGTATAATACAGAAACCGTAAAGTACAGCTGTATATGGGGGTGGTAATATACAGTCGTAATACGACGGGATATTACTATTTACCGGATCCACACCACCCCTCACACCCTCCCCACTGATCCTGGGTCTCTTCTGGTTGAGTCCGACCCAGAAAATCATCTCGGAGACTGACCCAGAGATTAATCTACTTTTTCCAAAAAGTATATTTACGAAAAAAAATAGAAAATAGAAAAAAAAAAAAAAAAAAAAAAAAAAGGAAAAAAGAAAAGAAAAGTGGACTAAATAGAGGAAAAGAATAGCAGGAACCGACAGAGAAAGGAAGAGAAAGCACCGAAAGGGACAGAAGAGTTTCTGGAAGGTTTCCTTCATACCTACCTCATTTGCGCTTTTTTATCACTCAACCAACCGTTAATATTGCACGTCACCACGCCTCCCATGTGGTCCCTTTTTCTCTTCTTTTATTAATAACTATCACATTCTTTCCACAAATCCTCCGATCCCAGAAAAGAAAAGAAAAAAGAAATCTCTTGCTAAATCTTTTCGGATTGCTTTGCTCCCTCTTAGTTGAGAGGTACTCGGCTTCATCCTCTCAGCGTCCATATCCACCCTACATCCGAACTATTATTGGGGGCTTGTCTTACCGTCTAGTTCCAGCAGACTCCCCCAACATTCATCATCACCTTCCTCTTTCCACTCTCTCTCCTCCCCTCCTTTGGGCCCTCAAGTACTACTTCCCCTTCCTCTTCCTCTTTCTTTTTCTTTTTTTACCCTTTTATCGCCTCCCCGCTATTCCTGTACATTTTTATACGGCATACGTATCTTCTTTCTCGCCTGTCGCTTCCTCTCCTCTCCTCTTCTTCTTCTCTCTCTCTCCTCTTTCTCCTCCTCTCTTCCTCTCTCCCTTTGCAGTCGTCCTCATTCTCCCACCGCCGCCTCTCATATGATCTCTGAGTAAGGGGCGCATCCGCTATAAACCCAATAACTGCCAAAACCCGTTCCCGTCTTCGAATACCACTCGGACCTCTTCCCCAAATTATTCCCACCCCCTCCTCTCTTTGTCTCCGCTCCTCGCGATCCTCGATATCATCTTGAAGCCGCCCACTTTGTGGTCGCAATCCCTGCGATCGCTACCATCCCCCCCCGATAGACCGTGATTGGGATGTGACACTTGAGCCGTCTCCACCGCATTTCAGAATTACATGCTTCTTTTTCACACTTTTAAAATAACGGATCGGGAAACGCATACATACATACAACCACCGCCCTTCCCTCCCCTCTCCGAATAACTTCGAGGCCCGGATCGAATAGCGCTTGGCGATCCGAATGCCACCTTCACCCTCCAACGCCTTCTTGTTTTCTCCTGGATTCCACGTCTCTCCATAAATCATCAAGCGCCGTTGAATACCACAACGGAGTAAGCAATTTACTACCTCCGACCGTGTCGATGATGTTCCGCAACAGGTACGTCGCTATACTGAAAACCGATGCTGCGTTTTGCCGACGAGTCGCCCGCCATTCTCAAGCTAACCGGACTACCACCCTTGCAGAAAGAATTCGCAAAAGCCAGACGACGAGCTCATCCAGAGATTCCAAAAAACCTTCTCAGACGTTGTTCCCCCAGTCACTCACCGCAATGCCACGCGCTTCGGTCAGATGCCCATTGGACCTATCACTCCAGCTAGGTAAATACGCCTTTTTTTTTTTTTTTATCTTTCAGTATCTGCCTTAATTTATTCTTTTCTCTCTCATCCTTGTGTTGGTTATTTTGGAGCTCGAAGAAATATTTGGGCGAAAGCTAACATGATATTTCTGCGCCAGATTGAGTATGAACAACGATATGAAGCTCAATGATCCTACACCCCGCGCCACGGAAGATATGCGTTTTGCAGCGCCTTTTGTCGATCCGAATGCTGTCTCTTATGTAAACCCACTACAGCCACATGGCTACTATACTCCCAACTCAGGTGGTCTGGGTGCAGTATACCACAGCCAAGCAGGAGATTTGCATACCCCTGGCATGGGTTTGAGCATGATTACTCCGCTCTCTCTTCCGCAGCAGATCTCCGCGGCGACCATCAACCCCGGCACTGCAGCTTTGGGCCTCGATCACTTTGACCAGCAGTACATCCCGCCACACTTCCACAACCCCCAACCGTTTGCTCAGCAGCCAGCATTTGCGCCCGGTGCTTTCGTTCAGAGTGATGCAGGTTACGATGCCATGGACGAATCTGTCGAAGAACTCTCTCTAAATGATGTGGATATGCAGGGTAATGCGTCTTCTCACTACGTTACGTCAACAATTCAGGACGATCAAGCGAGTATGCACAACCCAGGTGAAACGTGAGCGCTCCACCCTTTTCAACATGTTTGGTCGATCGCTAACCGTGCTGGACGCTACAGGTTTCGCTATCACGTCACTTTGCGCGCCCCCACAGCCATGATCAACCATCAAGCCGAGATCCCAGTCACATATCTCAATAAAGGCCAGGCATACTCAGTTTCCGTGATTGATTCTACTCCGCCGCCCATGACCACGCAACCGATCAAATATCGTACCTTCATCCGTGTGTCTTTCCAAGAAGATGAGCAGAGGGCAAAGCCGGCTGCTTGTTGGCAGTTATGGAAGGAAGGTCGGGGTTCCAATGAAGCGCATCAACGAGGCGGAAAGCTCCAAGCAGTGGAATATGTCGATCCCATACAAGGCGGCATTGAAGACACAAAGAACCGGCAAATCCAGCTCGAGAGCTCGTCGTTCGATGGTTTCTGCGTCACCTGGACACTCAACCCGTCAACTGGAGTTTCAGAGTGCTCGATTCCGGTTCGATTCAACTTTTTGTCGACGGACTTTAGCCATTCTAAGGGTGTGAAGGGTATTCCGGTCAGATTGTGTGCAAAGACAGAGATGGTCTCTCCTGATGATTCGAGCTCAACTTCGGGCAAAGAATCGGAGGTGTGCTACTGCAAGGTCAAGCTTTTCCGCGACCATGGTGCTGAGCGGAAGCTGTCCAACGACGTCGCTCATGTCAAGAAGACCATCGAGAAACTTCGACAACAGATTGCTCAAGCCGAGATGGGCGCCGGTAACTACGGGAAGCGCAAGCGTAGCAATGGCTCCATTGCTCTTAAGGGTGCCGATCCGCGCCCGGCCAAGATTACCAAGCACAAACGGACATGGTCTATGGGCTCGCAGGACGGCCCTGGCAAGATGTCTTTGGAGGACGATCTCCACGCAAAGCTCGCGTTGATGCAAGACATGTTCACGTCAACGCGACCGGTAAGCATTCTGGGATTGCGGGGCGAGGAGCAAGACGACCCGGACTTGTTCCCTGTCATGCTCCCCGAGTCGCGGGAATTCCTCAAACGGGAGAACAGCCGTGGATCCCGCTTCAGTATTGATGGCGCATCCCTGCATGCCGTTTCGCCCACCAGCAGTAACATCTCAATAAACTCGCCATGCCACCCGACCAACCTCCAGTCGAACATGTTCTATGACTCGGCGTACCATGGATCCCTGAGCACGTCTCGAGAGAACTCACGCCCGTGCTCTGAAGTCCTGGGCGACAAAGTCACACTAAAGCATCCCGTCAAGGTACCGAAAGTGGCCTCGACTGACGGTAGCGCGCCCATGGGATTCATAGAGGCGGTAGACATTGACCCAACTTACCGACCCCCCGCGGAGCGTCCAGTAAAGCCAAGTAAGTCAAGCTTGTAACCCTTAAAAGATACGCGAACTGACCCATTCCTAGTCGCGTGCTTCTACGTACGATTCCCACGCAACGATCAGCGTTCAGATGACTATTACCGGGCGGTTTATTTGACTGAACGGACGGTTCGCGATCTAATGGAGAAGATCTCCATGAAGCAGCGCATCGACCCTCAGCGCATTGTACGAGTCCTCCACGTCAAGCAAAATGGCCTAAAAATAATGGTAGATGATGATGTCGTTCGCGAGCTCCCAGACGGCCAAGACATGGTTGTCGAGATTTCCGAGGCGTCATCATTCGAGACCGCAGCAGCTACGGGATCGGGAAACATCAGTCCTGCCGTTGAAGTCAAATTGAGCTACTAATTATGCCGCTCGGCAAATCACGACGCTCTTTTCGTCCTTCGTCACTCGTAAACTTCACTTCGTCTAACCTTTTTGTCTCATCCCTCAACAGGGGGCTTCTTTCTTTCGGTACGGATTTCAGTCATTTCAGTCTTTTCGGCGCCTGGTGCGTGGCATGAGGTACGCTTGTTCGCATACATTACTCAAGCGCATGCCTCATATTCGGAGTTTGGGATTGCTTGCATCAATCTACGGG